ATTGGAAATGGCCATCTGGAGTAACGACTGCAAGTAGATGTCGGTATTCCCGCTCAATAAGTATTTTATGGAAACTGGCCTGCATGTCTAGGATGGTATTTAGACTGCACAGAGCTCCATTTTATCCTGGATTTTGGGAAGCGGGTATTTATCCTTCACAACTTTCTCATTTAAATGGCGGTAGTCGACACAAAGGCGTCGATCACCATTCTTTTTCTTGACAAGAACCACTGGGTTAGCGTAGAGTCGCGCTTGATATGTGACTGGATTAATGTCGTGGAATTTGATTGAAAACGTGCCTGTTGTTACCCTATTTGGTATCCTCGTTGCGGAATCTTTCAATAATTTTCTAATTTTCGCTTGAGCTTGCTGGTCCACTCCTGACATGGAAAGCGATGGCAATTGTATTAAGGGCTGTTTTACATCACATAGCCTTACAACCAGAATGTGCTTTAGTTCAAGACCAGTTTCAGTTTTTGGTAACGGGAGTCCATCTCCATTTAGAACAACCAGAAACATTCTTCAAAAGTCAATTGGGGAAAATAAATAAATAAAATAAATTATTGCATTTAACCGTCGGCCAACATCAACACGTAGCAGTAACGCATCGGTTCCGGTATCGAGAAGGTTGCTAAGTTTTAACTTCAACCCTCCTTCAGCTTTATCGCTAACTGCTAATTCAATTTGGACCTAAATATTTCATAATTGTGGCTTAAATTTTCAGGAAACGATGTTATCAAAAATATTTTTATTTAAATTTAAGCACATTCTGTCGGAATTACTGTCAATGGTTTTAGAAGTCTGTTTCAATCAATGCATAGCCCACACATATCCAACTAAAAGAGACCGTATAATTCTTTCATAAAATTGCCGATGTTGTGATGACAATATATAAATTTAGGGCAAGGGGCAAATACGGTGAAGAGTGCTGCTTAAAGATAAATGGTTGCTATGGGTAACCATGTAAGGTGGTGGATTAAAATTGTCAAAGTAGTATAACAAATAGTAAATTTGAAATATTCTGTGGTGTGGTGTAGGTGGATTCAAAACAAAACTATCAAGTTCATAATTACTTTAATTTCAGATGAAATACGTTTACAAACAATTCTTAGATCTTTTTTACAAAACTTCAGGATTCCTCCTGCGTTGGTTTCTGCTACGTCGAAATTGCTGACGTTTCGCCAATCATCATGTTGGCTTATTCAGAGCTTGACTGAAACTGTGTTTTCAGTTCAGTCAGTCAGTCAATCAGTTTCAGTCAAGCTCTGAAAAAGCCAACAGGATGATTGACGAAACGTCAGCAATTTCGACTAAGCAAAAACTGACGCATGAGGAATCCAGAAGTTTTGTAAATAGCATTACAGGAGCCTGTGGAAGTTTCTTTGAAAAATTCTTAGATCTCTTTTATAGAATGCTTGGAAAGACTTCACCAAATCGTTCGCGCTAATGTATTGTAAAAGTGAATTCTTTTTAATTTTAATTTAATTTGTCCAACAAGAAATTTCAAAATTCTGTGAAATGATGAATGTACCGTTTTCCTCGAGGAGACTGTGATGAAGAACTAAAAGTGAAACACTAAACATGCCAAAGTCAAAATCACCTTGATTTTTGGGGTCTAGAAATTTAATCATTAAATATTTTTGGAAAAACTCGTTTCAGGCAGTCTCAAAATGATCGTGTGCTACAAATTCCAGCTCTTGGTCTTAGGACTTAATTTTCTGCAAATCCTAGTAACGCACACCACACTTGATTACAAGGAGTATGAAAAATAAAGATTAAACAACGCCCCTACAATACTGTTATTAGGATAATAATATAGGTAATTTTATGCATTATGCTTAATGAAATAGTATCACATTTTGGTAACCTACGTCGAATAAAATTTGTAAATCCTTTGAAAACATCTGCGTTGCTCAGTACTGGCAACAAGATATTGTCATCACGTTCAAATGTAAACAATGCCATCTACCTTGATTAGATATCTATGGTATAGTCCATACAAAATCTACTAAACGTGTTACATACTATACCTTTTCTACGACCGTTAGTTTTTGGGTACATTTTTGCAAAACAACATAAATACATTCACTGACATGACCTTCAGAATTGACAAACGTTAAAATTTAGGCCGTACGGTTACATCCCTTAAATGTCCGAAAGGGCTCGGGTCAGTGGGACTAGCAAACTCACGTGGTAAAGTAACGCTTTCCGCACGCTAGATCGGTATATAATTAGGTATTTCACAGAAGGGAGTACAAAAAATAATATATTGACAATACCACGGTAAAAACTTGATTTTCCCAGAACATTTAACGAGATCTATGCGAATTGTGTGAAAAGTCTGCGGAAAAAATGACGTATCCAGACTTTTATAGAACTATTAGCTGCCATGTTGGTTATTGGCATGGCCAGAGTCTTTACATCTCTAGTAGCTATATGGCTTAACCTCATCCTGTCTCAGCATTTTCCTTTTTACTCATGTCTATATCTTATCTATTTAATGTCGTACGATAAGTTTCACAGAATACAAGAGGAGTTTTAAATGGCACAAATTATTTTAATGAGACCTTGAAGTGGCATCAACGCAGTAAAGATGTTATGTAGAAAACATCAGGGAAATATGAACTAGTGGGTGATACTGCTTTAACTGGGATTTTTTTATGTCTTGTATCGTTTGTTCTCACTGGTGATAAATTAATAACTTAATAATGAAATTATTGTATTAATTAGATGATCATGAACATATTTCATTATAAATTTTATATAATATAATTTATCATTCAGAGAGAAGCTCCAATATATCAGTTAAATATCAGCGCCGTGTCATCTCCATTGCTAAAATTTATCCATAATTTTATTTTTGTCGCAATAAATGACTTAAACTAATTACCTCATAAATTCTTATTTCTATGATCAAACTAAAAAAAAATGACATTTTGTTGGTTAATGTTTTAACACTTCAATAACTTGAATAGTGCCATGAGTTTATATGATTTCAGAACACAAATAAATTTTTTCTCAGTCAGTAGGGTGCAACGAAAAATTTGTAATTTGTTTCTCGTTCTTGACGTTTTGAAGTTGTAGTAATATCCTTTCAGGTTCTTATTTTTACAATAAAACAGAAATAGAAATAATATGCGTAAAAAAGAATAAAAAAGTAAAGTAATAACTTTAAGTAAAAAGAATCACCCTATAATTGATCTTGAACAAATTAAATGTTTGCGATGGCTAGGGGAGGAAACACCACCGTAATTGTTAAGATTGTCATTAAATTACGTACTTCATTCAATAAGTAAAATGAAGACGTGAATAAAATAACAAAATTCTGCGGAAAGGGGCACTGGGACAGACATCTAATAGTGTTGATGGAAATTCCCACAGAATATGACAAACATTTTCTGAGGATTTAATTTACAATTTAAAAAAATATGTCCAAATTGAGTCTGGCAGTTTACGAGAAAATCAAAATTGAAATTTATCGAAATTTGAGTGCTACATAAGTTTACTATCACTTAATTAAGTTTATATCATCTGCTATTAGTGCTAACTTTAGCGTAAAGCGCGTCTAAAATGTCTCATAAGTCGTAGAATGCTGTAGCTGTAAACTAGTATCTGTTACAATTTCAATTACAATTACAATTTTACTGACCATACTTAAAGTTTCAGGCTGTTTTTTTTATTGAATCATAAACCTCGGTCCCAACAATAGTAGTCTTTTGATGAATGATTTCATTTTTGAAGGTTAAATAACTCAAACCAGATGTGAACAGCGGGTACTCCAAATGTTCTGAAAATCGGGAAATAACCCCTTGATCAAAAAGTTCCCGGAATAACCACCGCGTGGCGCACCCGTTGTTCGAATTTGAGTACTTTTTTTGTTAAGTTGGTACATCTGTTGACATTCCCTCTAAATATTAGCGTAATAGCTTTACATTTGCAGAGCACTTAAACATTGCCTATGGATCCGTCCAAGATATTTTGGTTAATGATTTGAGTATCCGCCGTGTACCATCAAAGTTGATGCCAAAAAAGAGACCGCGTTCACGTTGCAAAAGAGATGATTTGCGAGACTAAATCCGATCCCACATTCGTCAAAAGGATTATTACTAGAGACAGACATCAGGCGAGTGAATGGCGTTAACCAAATCAGCAGAGACAAAAAAAATACGTCGTTCTCAGTCAAAAAAGAAGGCAAGGATCACGGTTTTCATTGATTACAAGGGTGCACTGCATCAGGAATTTTTGCCAGACAGTAGACGGCGGATATGAGAAGTTTGCGTGAAGCAATTCGCCGAACGAGACCAGAATTATGGCCAGAAAGCTCTTGGATTTTGCACCGTCGCACGATGCCATCATTATTCGCAATTGTTTGACAAAAAAATGCAACAACCGAATTCACCTCATTTGGCTCACTGTGATTTTTTCTATGCCATAGAGTCAAAAAACCACTACGTTGAACGCTTTTCAGTACTCTAGAGGAAGTAATTGAAAAATAGCAGGAAGCACAGATGGACATACCGAAAACCGAATATAAAAATTTTTTCGAGATTTTTATAAGTGTGTGTTGCAATTGTGTCTGCTAAATAAAATTAAAATTAAACAAAAGCGATCTTCTCACAATATTAATCATATAAATCATGTAATCATGTATCAATCATGTAAACCATTTTAAAACATTCCTCCCATCTATAAACAGACTTCTACTGCACGTGTCTCCCATATATAGAAAAAAAAACGGTTGTTTCCTCACAAAACAACGTATATTGCTAAAGACTAAAACAAAAGAAACTCGCATTTTCAAACTACTAGTATATTATTCAACTGCAGGTACAAAAATCGTATTAATAATAAAACTTCCCCAAAATATTTCCAACAAATAACACCACCTCAACCCTCGACTCTTCGACGTCAAATAATTAATTACTAATAACCGCTATAACTACCTAGTGATAATAGTAATGAATGATTTCGTGCAAAAATCGATTAAGTGCTAGACTCACGTGATTACTGTCGAAGTTGAAGGCGTCTTCCTCTTTGCACCCCAAGCTTCGCATGTATTTCAAGTAAGTCGTCGTAATCGGCATCGAATAGTCTATGTTTTCAGGCAACAGTATTCGCCTGAAGAAAGAAACGGAAAAATAATTATATACGATATTTGTCAATAAGACAAAACGGTTGAAAAAACTATTATTTCCGACTCATCAGTTTGAATTTGAATAAAAAAATTTTTCATTTCAATTTTTATTTTCTATATTAAAAAATAAATCGGCATACAGTATTGTACATTGCGATCCGTTTATAAGGGGATGAGACATTTTCTCAGAACGTCATAATTTTCTTATTTAAAATAGAACACCCTGCATATTACATAGTTTTTGAATTCTTCGGGAAATTCCAGACATTTTCAAATATCCTTACAGTTTCCGACATTTTTTGAAAGCCTTTCATATATAACTTATATATTTAAATAACATTAAACATTCAATTGAAAAAACTTATAAAGTTTTTTTTCAAAAGGAAATACCACAATTTTTGTAATTTTAGCGTATTTCGCATTTAAAAAAGGGTGCCTCCCTATATAAGGTTACCTATCAGAAAAAGTTATAGATTTCAAAATATTAACAAAAAACGTTTTGTCATTGTTGTGACAATGAAACATGGCGAAACAAATCAACAGAGAACGTCAAAAGTGTCACTATTTTGTGAGTTTGGAAATCAATGTTTATGCCACCTATCTTAAACATTTTTTATTCTTATGGTTATTTTAATACAAAAAAAGATCTCAAATCTATTGTAATGAATAAAAATGTTATTTTTTAACATATACCTTTTAAAAATGCCCTAAATTTTTTTAATTTTCAAATAACTTTGTTGTTCCATTTTAAGATAATAAACAAACTCAAAAACTTTGTTTATAACTTCATTGTCAAACCAGTGCTCTATTTTTTTTCCTGTTTCGCTTTTATCTTCTTGACAAATTAATAGTTGTGCAGCATTTTTACAATGGAAAAACTTTTTAATGCAAAAGATTTCGATATCTACAACCTTTTATACAAAGTCACCGGTTTCCAAATGTTTCCATTAAAAAAAAACTGATTTAACAAATTTTTCAATTCAAATTTTTAATGTTAGTTTTTTGACCACCCCGTATTTACTTATTTTAAAAAATATTAACCCAGACCACTAGTTTCTACAAGAAACTCAACAAGTGTGTAACAAAAGCTTTCACTCGGATAAATATATTCAAATCTACAAACATCGCCTTCGACATAAAATTCAAAACAAGTCAAAATATGAGTTCTTACTTGTTCACGAAAATAAATTTCCCTGTATTTATAATAATATAACATCTCAACTTCATCTTATTTCAGCTTGCTCATTGACTCGAATACAGTACTATTCGAGCAATAAATAGAAAAATAATTTAAGGAACCCGAAAAACAAAATGGATTCCGAACCTCGCATATAATAAAATTAAATCATCTTAAATAGTTTAAAGTTAGTTCATTTAAAAAATATATCGATTGCGAGAAGCAAATTTTCTTTCGAAATGGGTATTAGACAAATTTAAACCAAAATTGGAATAATTTTTAGCATATAATTTAATAATTAGTCGTGCTGTTTAAAAATTTCAACGAATTGTTATTCTAGAACTTCCCGATGGGAAGGGATTTTTGCAACAGTGTGTATGCAAGTCAAAACATAGCCCCCTCTCTTCCCAGCACCATGTTTTGTTATTCAAGTCTTAATCTTTGCTGTTAAATTAAATGAAATAATAATAATATAAATAAATAAAAATAAATTTATTTTGTTTTTTTATTATATTGCCAAACGGTTTTAAATTACACTTGATACATATGGCTGAATTTATTAAATCATCTGCAATTTTATAGGCAAAGCAATATAGTCTGTTTTTTAGAGAATAGGTATTATATCTGTAATGTAAAAACATTTTCGAATCTTCTTTGTACTTTTTCAATCTAGATAATATTATCAATCACAAATTCAATGTTGGGTTCTGAGTATTTGTCGTCGATATCAATCGGTTATAAGGAAGAGAGGAGGAGACACCCAATGTTGGCTTTTGATTTGTTTAGTACTTATGGGGACATTAAATTCCGTATTTCATTTAATAAGTAAGATAAGGATTTGATTAAAAAAACAAGATGCTGCAATGAAAATGCATTGACTAAGGCAAACACATATTGTTGACAGGAATTCCCACAAAATGTGACAAACATTGATTGTAATACTGGCTTTCTTTTTAATACTCTATACATGTCTAGAACATAAATTTAAATATAAATGTTTTTTATAACATCGCTTCCGAAGGTTTATGCTACAATTTGTAAAATATCGAGGCACTAGCTCGATATTTTACTTTACTTTGAAGTTAGCGTTAATTTTGATGCGATTTTGATATAAAATAACAAACAAGTAACAACAAGTGCCTGGAGACGCTAACAAAAACTCAAATTTAATAATCTAAAGTGTCCATTAGAAATAAACAAAACAACATCAAACGTCGTAACTTGCCTGGGCTGTAAGCTTCTCTGTTCCTCTTCGATGCTTTTGACTGGAGACCAAAGCTTAGGCGCTTCGTTTCGCTCCGATTTCGGTTTGTTCTTATTATCTTTGGACGTTAAATTTGTCACGTCGAGAGGGTTCGTCGACTTTTTGGGTTTTTCCACCACGTTCTTGTTAAGATCGCTCTTCGCTGTGCATTTGGCGGGTGGATTTTGTTCCCTTAACTCGACCCGAGTCGGAGACGGGGTAGGACTGAGCACGTCGGACGCAACATCTGCAATTCAATTGATTTTAGTTTATTCTACGATGACAATTTAGTATTTAATCTACAGTGTACCTGCTGGTTCAGTGGAGTAGCTTTAAACTAGACTCTACCAGAGAACACTTTTTTCTTAATAAGTTGTAAATTATACTCAATTTTCATTAATAAAGTCATTAAAAAAAATCATAGCTAGTCCGACACAAAAATGTATTTGTTTATTCTAAGAAACTCGTTACTTATTAGTATTGAACCTTATTTATGAGGAGCAAATGGAAAACAAAGAGTAACGTTCTTCGTTCAAACGTTTAAACTCAAAATTGATCAAAATCATATATTGATAGTAGCAAATATTTCTCCTGATTGTTGCAAAAACCATAGATTATCTGCCATACAAAAAATTTACTTATTTATTTGATATTTCGTTAAAAACACGAACACTACTTATTTACATATAAATATACCATTTATACACTAAATCTTACGTGCTATCGAAAATAAAAAGAAAAAAGGTCAAAAAATTGTAATTTGATGAAAAGCAGCTCAGCATTGTTTTATAATTATTTATAACCCAGCCCAAATCAGCCCGGAATTCGTTATACTCCTCCAGCTAGGTAACTGATCTAACTAACTTAAAATTAGCTGCAAACACTAAACCTATAAGAACACTTTTTGGAAAACCGTTGATGAACAAAATAAAGTTCCTTTCTTGTGGACTTCAGCAGTATCTTCAGACCGAACAAAGAAATGTTGTTATTAAGCTGGGCACTAAAAAAAATTCCCCTCTAAAATTTGACTATTTTTTCAAATAAAATTGTCACAAAAACTTTTAATTACATTATTTTTCAAAGTCTCAAAAATATATTTCTGTTTACAATTCAGTCTAATCGGGCGGATCATTGATTAACTTAGTGTGGCAATAGTGATAATAAAAGAATTGCTTAATTACATCAATCATACATGAATTTCTGAAGAATATCATAGAATTAAAATGAAATGGGAACATATCAATAACACATACTCAAAGTGCATACGCAAAGTGCGAATCCCTAATTTGCAACACGTACAAAATATAATCCATTCGGTAATTTGTCACAGCGAAGTCTATGGTTTACATCTCAATGGTTTTTCCAAACAGCTGCATGTCAAAAAACAAACAATAAAACAAGTGAAATCTATTAAATATCTAGGGACTAATATCAATTGTTTTTGCGACTCGAAAAAAAAAGTTTTCTGGAGAGTTGATCAAGCGAGGAAAACTTTCATGAACGTTTCTCACCATCGAGCTTATAATTCGAATGATAAGGTATTGCGTATTCTCTGTCTTGCTCTATGGGTGAAAGAGCTGGGCTTCGGCTCAAAATAGAGGGAAACATACAGTGCATACAATTATTAATAGGAAGACGCCAAAATTCATAGCTAAAAGATTTAAGAAGATGGTTTGACCGTTCGTCTACAGAAATCTTTCGTGTTGCAGTTTCCTTTGGATAGCCCACCTTCGTGGGGATAGGAGTGTCGGAGAAGCAGAGTCGGGTTCATTTTGCATTGTGAATACTTCTGCCGCTTTCCTGATTTAAACAACCCTATACTGGAAACCGTAAAAAGTGCGGCGGGAGAAAAATTCATCATCCCCTTACCTGTTATTAGAAGCCGGTTAGTCGTCGGCGTCGTTTGCGGTTGGGGGGTGGCGGCGGCGGCGGCAGCGTGGTTGTTGTTTTGTCCTCCCGTACCGCACAATGTAGGGCTGGGGCTGGGCGTAGGCAATGGCGGCTGGGACTGGGGCTGGGGCTGGGGCTGGGGCTGGGGCGGCGAGGGCGAACGTGGATGTTTCTGACACTCCGTGCATCCCAAAAGGAAACGGGTGACGGCTTCACGCGGCAGGAAGGCGTACGTCTCCGTTATCTGAAATTGAAGACCAAAGGGGGTTTCAATTCTGCGGCGTTTATTGTCGTCGTCGTCGGGGCGTAAGATATCGGATAAGAGTGCGTGTGTAACAGAGGATAAGAGGGGTAGCCAAACCGGAGCATAGATTTGATAATGATACGGGTAAACCTTGCCAGAAAATAGACAGGAAAGCAGTACCAGCAATTCGGACAAGAGAGATGTCCAACTAAAAGACTTAATGTATCACAGAAAAAAAATGGCCAAAATTCCCGGAAAAACAATATTTTATGTCACACATATATGACTAACATGGCCCTATATTAAAACTTTTTTTCTCGACAAACCGTGTCAGTCTTATGTGTCTGACGCATCCAAACAAGATACAAGTATTAACCTGTTTTTTTGAATACGGCATTGGACGCATTGTGGTACGTGTACCGAATAACACCTTGTTACTGTGACTATTTCTTTATAAATAAAATAAAATAAAATAAAATAATATAAATAATATATATAATAATTGGTAAATATATGCAAATAATGTCAAAACGAAAGTTTCTAAGGGAAAGTGAATTGAAAGAGATTGCTGAAAATGTAAACATATCTGATGAAGAGCACGAAGACTATAGTTCAGATGATGGAACAAATGATCCAAATTATAGTCCCTCGTAAAATGCAGATGAAAAAAATCTTCCAACAATTTCTTCAAGATTTAAAGTCAAAAGAAACTACCGCAAATATTGAAGATGACGAAATACTCGAGTGTTAATTTTATGAGTTTAGTGATGTTCAATTTAATGCCTATGAAGGTAGACATAAATATCTTGATTTCATAGGAAAATCTGGTTTACAATTAGAGTTTCCCAAAAAATATTTTCGCTTTTGTACATTTATGTTAATTTTTGATGAAAAGGTTGTAAATCTCATTGTTACTGAAACTAACATATATGCTAGACAAACAATTAACAACAACAAACAACTAACTCCGAAGAAATAAGAAAGTTTTTCAACCTTTTTATGCGGATGGGATCAGTGCAGTGTGAATGGGAAATATAACTTCTTATTGGTCGAAGAAAGATATTTACAAAAATAGCATAACCCCAAACATCATGTCTCGATAAAATGCTATTCTTGGTGACAGATTGGTAAAAATTAAAGCACTGTTAGACTTACTTAAAGCTAAGTATAAAAAAGTGTTTGTTCCGGGTGAAAATTATGTAATTCATGAAAATCTTGTTCCTTGGAGAGGCAGGCATGTTTTCCGCCAATATATACCTAACAATGTGCATAAATATGGAATTAAACTTTTTAAGTTATGTACTTCAGAAGGATATATACGTGGGCGAGCAAAATCTATTCTGCAAAATCTGGGATTTATGATAAAAATAACGGCTTAGCAGCAATCTGAGGATCTTTCACAAGGTCTTCTAAATGAAGGTACAACATTGTACGTAGACAATTTCTATACCAGCTACCCGCTACCATTTCACCTTCTTCGCCAGAAGACACATGTTGTGGGCATTGTAAGAGCAAGTAAGAAGTTTATGCCAAATGAAGTTATCAACGCAAATTTGAAGAAAGGTATTGTAGTACGATATGTTAGAAAACATCTCCCAATTTGTCAATATAACAAAGGTAAAGCAGGGATAGATATTTCTGATCGAAATGGTAGCGGAAGTTAGTAATAGAAAATAATATAAAATAAATAAAATAAAATAATATAAAATTATATACAAAATCACCAATAAAAGCAACATAGGAATTAGGGTTCCTATGCAACTACTCTAAGAAAAAGAATAAAATGGTAGCGGAAGTTAGCAATACAATATGTTCTTGGAATATCAGTAGTAAATGCTAATATAATATACAATTGCGGGGAAATTTGGTAACTGAAATGCTTAGCTTAAGCTCGGACAAAACCAAAAAGCCCAAAAATTTCAACTCATACGCTAAAATAATGTATACTGCCGAAAAAAAGAAGAAGGTGGAGATGCAGCAAGAAAAAAAAGGAAAACAAAGTTTCAACGCACTGCTCAGACTGAGAACAACAGCCCTTTCTTTGCATAGAATGTTTTGGACAGCACAATAAAAGAATATAATTAATTATATCAAAATAAAAATTATTAAAATGTATTTTGTATGTAATGTATGTTTATTTCATTTTACTGTTTGTAGTAAACCAAGAAATTTTCAGGTTTTGTTCCTGATAGGCCAAGCTTTCGAAACATAATGCAAATGTATCGTCTGCGTAGGACATCTGTGAGTGACGTAGCCTTCCACCAAATAGCGTACGTCAGACATATATGTCTGACATGGCTCATGTAGAATTTCTTAGGGTCAGACAGATATGACTGACATGGCGATTAACGTGTTAAAAATTGACTCATAATCAGTGCAACCTATATCCGACGGAACCAAAGCTATAAAATTGTTTTGGAAAGTTTTAGTTGATTCTGGCTGACGCTGCATGCTTACGTCGGGAAGCATATGAGGCGTGGTGCTAAGGACGAAAGCTAAGCTTATTACAGATTTACCACGTATCCAACGTTACCGCCCAAACTAACCAGAAATATGGTCTAGTTCATTATTTAGTGCAAACTAAAACGGTAAAAGAGCCGCTGGAAGAAGAAAGATATTGTGACTGCAAAACCTAAACCATTACTTTAGGTTGAAGTCATGACGTGTAAATCTATTTAGGGTTGCAGCAAATAAAATTAGATCAATCCTAATAATACTAACGTCTACTGAAGGGGGTACATATCAAGGAAAATAACACCAGCTTACCCTATGCCTACCTTGCTACGTCGATGATGTAACGTTTTTTATGCACACGGGGAAATTTAAAGGTAACAAGATCCTTGATTTTGTCTTTTTACTATCCTATAGGATAGCCTGATATGAATGCACGGGTATTGTGCAATCTTATAGTAAACTCGTGAAAAAAGTGATATAAAATCTTAGTTAAATGTTACTTCTCTATGGCTCAAGCAATTTTCCAAATATCGACATGCGAATTTAGATTTGGAGGATTTTGTAAATAGGAATTGATATTACGAGTGATGATTTCTAGGTGAAACCCGCCGTTCTTGAGATATTCGCATTGCAATCATTTATTTTAATAAGTTTTAACGTTATTTAAAAACGGAATACAAAATATGACTTCAAGTGGGTTAATATGGCTAGGCATCATGAATATTGAAATAACGAAGTTAATAAAATATACAGATCATTTAAATCAAACGAACGGTTCGCAAGGAAACTTAGTTTTAAATTGGAACCACTTTTTAGTGACCTATTTTTTGCGGAGGAGAATATTAAAATGCAAATAACCCGAAAAAAAAATATCTCGTGTTTTACTGAAACCACTATAGTAAGCAATAACAATTGCCAGAACTAAAGTTAAACACTCTGTAATTTCACTAATGAGCTACATTTTACTAAGGTATATTTACCTCGATATCATTTTCTCGCGAGTGTAATCTAGGACTTAAAATATGAAGTAAAATAAGGAATATTGAAGTTTGTACAATAGTTATCCCACCCCGACCTCCCTTTCAAAAAATAAGCCTGGATACACCGAAATACCTGAGTTTGTTATTTCTATCCTATATGGACTTCCGGAACCAGTCACCCATGAAGTTATGTAGAGGCCTTAAATTGCTTACCGTACGATATGTCCGTTTTTGTCCAGCATGTTTACCAGGTCGTCCCTCTAAATCCACGTGAACGTTGTAAATTATGTCGAAAAAGTTCTCCACCACAGCGACCTTGCGATACGTCGGGTTAGTTGAGGAATTCTGGAACGAAAAAAAAAACATTTAACTCAGCTAATTGAAAGAAACCAGAGTTTCTGGATTGTAGCATAAAATTAATTTCATAACTGAAAATGATGTCGCTAACAAGTAGGGAATAACAATAAGCGCCTCCAAGATGCTTTTCCCCACAAAATAAAAATAAGGTTTTGTTGTTTCAGTCGTGACGATGTGGTGGTATCATTAAGAGGTTCGATGTTTTGAACACAAGAATTAACATTAACGGAATAGTATTTGACAACCTTAGATATGCTGGTGATGCATAATACTGACGAATAGAGGTGACAACCTGCAAGCCTTAATATTCCAACTAATGGAGAAGAACGAATAATTTGATCGACAACTTAACATTAAAAAAATATTTAAATACGATCAGTTATTGAAATCGGAATTAATAATAAAGACCAAGAAATCATACTCGAAATAAAAAGACACAAATTAGATATATGTGCCCTTTCGAAGACTAAAAAGAAGGGCAAAGGAAACAACAGCAAATATGGAAACTACATTCTAATATGCAGCGGCAAGGATAAAAAATGAGGAGTTGACTTACTGCTACACGACACCTATGAGAACCGAATCAGGAATATGATATACGTTAACGACAGAATACTTCATGCCACGACTAACCTATAAAAACCAAAACCAACGCATATAATAAATATCTACGCACCCGAAAGCAGCAAACGTCAGGCGGATATAGACTTATTCTGCCAGATATTACAGTCTTAGACGATATACCCAATAGGATGATTTTAATGAAGGAATTGACAATGAAGTTATTCCTGGTATCAAAAATCAATTTAAGGAAGAAACAATTAATGACAGTGGTAAAAAAACGATACAGCTATACTAACAAAACGAAGTTAGAATTAACAACACCTTCTTCCCCACATAAACCACAACATAAATGTACTTTTGAAAATATATAAAGACATAAATCAAAAGAGACCTCCGAGAGAAGTTTTCAAAGGATATGGAATATGTGGGACAGAAGAAAATATGGGATCTACTGAGAAATAGAAGAAAACCAATAAATGAGCACATACGAAAGACAAAAATCACGGCGGACGAATGGGAAAGACATTTTAAAAAACTTCTAACGTACACAATCTAACGTGCCAGCACAGGAATTACACCACGAGGATAAAAACATCAAGGAAGCCCAAATTAAGATATAAAGAACAGAAAAGCCGCAGACATCGACGAAATAACAAACGAAATGATAAAATATGGAGGCAACACACTATACGATGAGCTACAATCCCTTTTTAATAAAATACTAGAAGTCAAAAATATACCATCCTAATGGGAAGGGAGTATTTTCATACCGATTTTCAAAAGAAAAAAGCGATCCCGATGAGTGCAATTCTGAAACTATTTACTAACATTTTATGAAAAAGTGATAGAAATTCCAACAAATAGCGAAAACGTACAACATCCAAATATCCACAAAAAAAACAAAATCGCTTACAATATCTAAAAAACTGAGAAGATGCAAACTAGCAATTTACGATCAGAGTTTAGAAGAAGTGATGCCTTTCAAATATCTGGGGACAAACATGACAGTTGATAGAAACCTAAAGAATGAAGCGAAAGGCCAAACAACAAAAGCAGCATTAATATCAGGATTCCTAAGATATTTAATTTAGTTATATTTATTTAATTATTATTTATATTTATTGAACAAACGAGAAGCAAAGTTAGAATATATAAAACTTGCGTAAGACATACGCAATAGAAACTATAATCAATAACAGGACATACGTTATTCGATCAGAAGAGAAATATGAAGAAATAAAAGACATGTTTAGTATTCAGAATGTAGTAACATGGGCAAGGAGTCGCAAAAGAGAATGGAGAGACCATTTTGGCCTAATGCCAAATGAACAATTAGGAAAAATTGCAACCACCTATAAGATGGTATGAAAGCTGGCAAACCCTTGTTGAAAACACAGGACCCAGCCCTAACGTAAGAAGAAGCTCGTCTTCTGTAACGATCTAAAATTACAACTTAGAATGGAAATATTAAGATCTGCTGAGAGGAAAAGTTAGGAAACAGTGATGGACTCCTTACAAGGATTAAGGAATTGAAAGTAGTAAAGACAATAAAAGAGTGAAAAAAGAGTGTTTTGACCATATAATGAGACATCCAGAAAAATACGAACTCTTTGATTTGATCGTACAACGAAAAATTGTAAGTATTGAAAAAGTTCTTAGCTCCAGCACAGCGAGAATGGTATGAAATCTTAACAAATTAATCATAGTTTTTCCGTAAACTTGAGCTTGCGGAGCCACTTGTTTTCGACCGGATCCGCTGCCTCAAACCGCCCGCGCACCCGCCCCCTAAAAACCCTCGGAGAGCGGTTGCCGGGCCGCAAAATTTTTCCTTTGTGTAAGAAAGGTCGGATCCTTTCTCGACCCTTCTAGTCCCGTACTTACGCTGCCCCCGTACCCGCCGCGCTAGTTTTATATCCCCCGACCCGGGGGTATTTGGGTGGCAAACTTGTGCCGAATCATCCTCGAACCCTCCAGACCTCGGGGATATCCGCCCGGATCCCCGTCAACCGCCCCGTTCGAGCGGAATGGGGGTGGCGAACTCACCCCACGTTCCGCCACCTCCCACCGACCTTCGGGTCTGAAACAAACGTAGCGAGCGTACCCGATGGGAACGAGCTGGATATACGGATACATTTTTTAGAGGGGAATAACTGCGGGCATATATTTTTGTTTTATTTTTTATGCGACGGGAAGGCCGACTCGGACGGGAATATCTATAACTGACAAGTAGAAAAAATTGACTAGAAAAATTATAGCAGAAAGGGCGATCAAAGATCAGAACACTTCAAAGGACAATTTGTAGTGATTAATGCCGAGCATTATACTAGCAAGCTTTCGGTTGTTGACTATAATTTATCAATGAATTTACAACCAAACGTTGCATTTGTTTACCACTTGACTTACTTTGGTCAGTGACTAATTGTATCACTCTCTAATTTTCGTAAAAATATTTGCACCTGATGTTGACAGACTTGAAATTCTACTTGATTCTATTTGACTTTTCGAGAAATAGTCAAAATTTTAAAGAAATTTATAAATAAACTAAAAAATAAGCAAATAATTCTCAATTCTGATAACAAAAGCAAAACCACGTGGAATGCGTACATAATCTTACAAACTAGTAACTGACATTAGTGACCAACTATTAAACATGCCAGTACCAAACCTGAATAGTCAAAGAGTGTGTGCTCCTTTTAAATGAAAGATTCTCGAAAATAATCCAACGATGTGTTTAAAACCCACTTCAATAAAAGAATTATTAGGAAGGTCACAATATTTCACAAATAAAAACAGCAATGGAGAAGATGAAATTACAGTTAGTGTAGTGACACTTTGTATTAATACCACAGCTCATATTCTAGTTCATATAATTAATATAAACTCTTTGATATTTACTATCTTTCCGGAGTAATCAAAGTTCGCAAGAATTATTTCAGCGCATAAAAATTCAATTGCACAGTTTTTCTAAAATATTTGAGAAGGTGTTCTCGGTTGCGAAATTACCATATTGATAATCTGTATCTAAAACTAATAGTATCAAAATAGTGTGTGTCAGTATATTTAAATCTAAGGTACTATTTTATGCGAATTTCGAGTCTGTAACTTGATGATACATACAATGACTTGGTGGTGGTACCAGAAATGTATTTTTTTCTTATCCGATACATCGGTTAACGGTTACAGAGAAAAGATCATACTATATGTGCATAAAACTTGTCAATAAACTTCAAATAAATTATTCAAGAAGAAAATAAATAGTATGTTACTTAAAATTGAACCGTATGGCAACAATGAATTCTTGATTGCTAATTTATACATGTCAGCTTAGTTTTCTTTTGTGACGTTATTACACCTTTATAATTTGCATATGTATGCAATTTGTAATAAAGAAGTATTATTAATACTGCTATTACTAATAGATATTTTGGGTTCAAAAAGCTCATACCAGATCTGGAGTTGGAGTTGATTGAATCAAGCATATTTGCCTTTTGTCCAACTACGAACATACGAAATAGCATGCACCAAGTTTGGTAAATCGCATTTGAGCCACGAGTATTGTTTTAGCACGAGCAAAATGAGTTCTTAATAAACGAGTGACTTAAAAAGTATATCAAATGTGCGTTTTTGTGTATATTTCAGAATTGACAAATGTCAAAATTCAAGTCAAGATCCAATTGCTCCCAAAACAGTGTGGCAATATCCCGGAAATATCCAAAGTGGCTCGTAGCCGTAGATAACGAAACTAGCATCGTAAAATGACACACTTCCGACGGGTGCATAATTGGGTATTTTTGAGAAAGATGTGGAAAATAGCATATTACGCAAACAAGTTACGAGCTTTTTTGGCACGAGCGGATCACAGCGGAACGAATGCTTAATAAATGAGTAATTTAAAAAGTTTGTCAAACGTGTCAACATTTTCTCCGACCACTAGTTTTTGGGTACAATTTTGCAAAACAACTCAAATACATTCACCGACTTACGTCTGACATGACCGTTGAAAAAGGTCAGAATTCAAGCCGTGTCACTTTGTCGTGTCTGTTTCGTTTCTCACGAATCGTTTTCGGAGATTTTATCACACGGCTTGGATTTTGACGTTTGTCAATTTTGACAGTAATATCAGTGAATGTATTCGGGTTGTTTTGCAATGTACCTAGACTACCGTTCGTAGATAAAGGATGGTATACGACACGTTGTTTGGTAAACTTTTTAAGTCACTCGTTTACCACACTTGTTAAATAATATACTAATATGGGTGTTATTTTACTGACATCATATGCCATCTCACAACTGCCTGACACTCGCGATGCCTATCAAATAACCCAACGTTGCCAAATAATGGTTGCGTCAAATATTTAATAATAATTTCAATAAATAAGCTGCAAAACGTGTTTAGACTATTCATCTGGGCCATGGTACATAGT